TTATATATCTTAAAAATAATTAATTCTATCCTGGGATCCAGTTCAATTTTCTCTTGAAATCCTAAGACAAGAAAAAGACCAGGAAATGAGAAACCCTAGTAAAAACTATAAAGATTAAATTTACCGATGAGAGGCAGGTGGAGAACGTCTTGTGTATAAATAGTCCGGTCTATCCTGCATTGGTCTTCTTTCATATGCTTCTTCTCCAAATGGCATTGGACGTCTTCCATATAAATCATCTCTTGGTGGTGGTGGTGGTAGTGGACGACGTCCATAAGGATCTGGTTGCGGCATTGGTGGTCTTCTTTCATAAGGAAGTGGATAGGGCCGAGAACGACTAGGTCCGTCATAAAAAGGATCTCTTGGTGGTCCAAATGGCCCAAAATAAGCATCTCCATAGAATCCATCTCTAGGATATCCATTTCGCATACCCCCTCGTCTAAATAATTAGTTGTTAGAAAAAAAAAAAAAAACAAATACATTCATAAATTTTGCTCATTTACCTCATTGGACCTCCTGGTCCACCTTTAGCTCTACCTGGTGCACCTGGTTCTGGATGCAACTTACTTGTGGATTGCTATATTGAAATTTTTTAAAAATTTCATTAACTTTCAGAACAACACACACACAATCAAATCTATATACAAACCTCAACACTTATACATGATCCCATAAAGTTGAAATTATTCAGACCTTTAATAGCTTCCTCAGCTTCTTCTGGAGTGCTCATGTGCTAGACAATAAAAAATTTTTGTTCTTAATGAGAGTACAAAATAATTTTTACGGAAAAATATCAATTTTACACACAAAAATAATAATAAAAATTATTTGACATTTTTTACAAAACTAATACAGTCAACCCCCCTATAACACGGTAAATACGTTCCGGTTTTTATGAATCCATTTTCTATGAGTCCAGCCAATTACAGCCAGCACGTGTGCAGTTTACAGACTACGGCTGTTTGAAAGGTTTTCTTCCATAAAATTAATCGAGTCTGGACTAATTCGACTCAACATTTCCAAAATACGTATAATTTTTTGGGAATAATCCATATAAACTATGCTATAAACAAAAAATTGTAGGATTACTTACCGAGTGTGCACCGTTCGACAGCACCATTGCTTAAGCTTGTTTTCGTCATGGAGCGGTGCATCAAATGGCGCTCGTGTGCTTCCTGATAAATTATTTTTTTGCAAAATATTCACTAAACTTTGGAGACATCATTAATAAAAATATAATTTTTATGGACATTAAATAATAAATGGTTTTTAGTAAGTCCAGTGCTCATTTAAACTCAACAGTTTGTGCAATATCTGCTATTGGTGTAGATTCGACCAATCCTGTTGCGACACAAGTCGGCGATGACGTTTTACCAAATTATAGGAATTTTTTTTAGCACGTTTATACGAATACTGTCACAATTTTTTTACTGTGATATAGGAATCCAAACTATAGGAACCCGTGATATAGGGGGGGGGTCAAATGTACAATATTTAACATAGTGCGCTTTATAAAAATTTTTATGAACCTCCTCTTGTTAATTTTTTTTTATTTTTTAAAGTATCAGATATGTATTTTATATTTACTGTATGTCAACTCAATAAATGAAAGTAATCACTATGGACTATTTTATCATACTTCATTTTAAATCACTATTTACAAAGAAAATGACTGCATATACAATCATAATGTGGCTTAGTTTCAAAAAGGACTTAGCTTGTACAATAGACCCCCCTATAAAACGGATTCATATAATACAGCAAAATAATTGCAATCGTATTCAAATAAACACGCTAAAAGAAACTTGTATAACAAAATGTCATCACCAACTCGTGTCACGACAGGATTGGTCGAATCTAGACCAATAGCAGATATTGCACAAGCCGCTGAGTTTAAACCAGCAGCAGACCAACTAAAAATCATTTATTATTTAACGGTCATAAAAATTATATTTATATTAATGATGTCTCCAAAGTTCAATGAATTTTTTGCCGAAAAAATAATTTATCAGGAAGCACATGCCTGCCATTCAATGCGCTGCTCCATGACAAAAACAAGCTTTACCCCTTAATGTCCAGTCACGAATTAACTCGGGCATGTTACATAACGTAAAATGCGGTCCTTTCGCCCCCAATTTTTTTTTTTGATTTTTGGAATGTTTTTTAAGTCTCCAAATTTTTTCAAAAATTTTTACCCGCGCAAAAAATTTTATTGCGATTTTAATTAGCCTTTGATAAGGCTCGATTAAGGCTTAATTGTTTTTTAATGGGATTTTTTT